TGGCTACACGAAGCAGTGAAGCTTGGGAGATGGAATCAAAGACTTTTGAAATGTCAAGAGAAGCAATGGATAAAGGGACCCCGTTCAAGGGTGAAGATCTTAGTGCAGAGTGTAATGTCGTGGGGGTTTCAAAGCAGACCTCTTTATGAAGAAAACCAAATTGAAGACGGTGAGCTGGGAATGCAGGGATCAAGCAAATGAATAAAATGCGATGAAGGAGACGAGTGCAGGCTGATGTTACGGAAACTGAACGAAAGTCTTCAGGGTGAAAAGGGTTGAGGATTTTGTGCACAAACGTTAGATTACGCATCTCAATCCGTTTATGGAATGAGTGCGTCACAATGGCTCTCCTAAGCCGGGTAAGCATCAGGCATCAACAGCATGCCGGTACGCCGGTACCCGATACGCAGTGCCGACGCTTCGCTGCAGCGAAACTAGTAACAGTCGTGTGTGGGCTAAGAATACTGCAAAGGTCGTCCGGTCCCCTATGCGGGCTCGAACCTGCGCCCTCGGATTACAAGGCAAGCTTTTAATCGTTAAGGCTACGGAAGGCCCACGATCAAGAGTAGGGTTGTGTTAGCACCCAGCGCTGACACAATTCTGTTGCCTTAGCATGACCGCAATGTGGTCTGAACATCGTGCGGTCGCCCTAATTCTCATTTCTTGCTAACAGATTGCTGAGTTTCAGCAACCAAGGAGCCGGGAAATTCGATATGCATTCAAATTTGATGTTAGTGCCTTAATTCCCTGAGACCAACTTGTATGTTGACCACCTCTGCGTTGCTTCCGATCAACATTTGTGCACACAAGGAGGACACGGTGGGGCAACCGTTGAGCGGGGCCTGTGAAAGAAAATTACGCAACGCAGACGTTGACAGCGTCGGTCTTACTAGTAAATCTGACGTCGAACTGCATTACTACTGCTATATTTGCCAACATATACTAGCGATGCTTCGGAGGTAGCTGTGATAAAAGGCAGGCTTGGAATCAGCGCGAAAGTTGGTGCGAGACCAACATTGCGCAATTCTATGGACTACCCAAAAAGCATAAACATGGAGTCCCCCTGAGACCAATCGTCTAACTTCCCGGAACCACATCGTATAAATTGTCAAAGAACTTGTGGAGGAGGTTGAAGCACCTGATTGCTGGAGCCGAACATAGCATCAACAATACAGAACAATTCGTAAACAGGCTGCGGGATGTGAATTTGGAAGAAGACGAGATTATACTCTCAGTTGACGTCACGGCACTGTTAACTTCGATCTGTCACGAACGTGCTAGAGAAATCATGGTAGAGCTACTTCAGAATCAACCAATCACAATGGCGACCATATAAACAGGGAGTTTGTGGGAACTCTTGGACCTCCGTACGGCAACGTATTTCCGCTTTGATGGACAAGTATACCAGCAGCTGAAAGGAACGCCAATCGGCTCTTCAATATCTGGGCTCATGGCCAAAGCCGTGATGCCGAAATTGGAGCGCAGTGCACTGAGATGCATCAGTCCAAAGCTTTGGATCCGATGTGTGAACGACACATTCGTCATCATAAAGTGGAACAGAGTACAGACGACGCAAGACTTGCTCAAAGACACCTCTGCTGATCTCAAACTTACAATTGACTTAGTGACTGGCAACATGTTGTCATTTTTTGGATGTACTGATCGATGGGAAGACCGACGGGACACTGCGGACACGCGTAGATGGGTAGAAAACGCATACAGACCAGATATTAAACTATAACAGCAACCACCGCGTGAGCCATAAAAAGAGCTGCCTTCAAAGCCCATAGAAAAGAGCGGAAACACACTGCAGTACAATTGAATTGAGAAGGCTAGAAGAACCACCTATACCGAGTAGTTCAAAACAACGGTTATCCGAAAAACTTCCTCAGAAGAAGCATAAGGAAACGAACGCTTCAGCAACAACAACAGCCATGAGAGCAGACAAACAAACGAATTGTGCTCCCGTACATCAATAACGTTTCTTAACTGACAAGTAATTTATTACAGTCACATGGAATTTCGTTGGCTCACAAACAAAGTGCCACCTTAAAGCGACTGATTTACAAGCCTAAGTATAAAGTCGATCAGATCGACTAAAACAATGTTATCTACTAGATAAAATGCAGTGAATGTGACAAGAACTATGTTGGACAAACTGAAAGGAAGCTTCGTACACGAATCACCAAGCACAAAGCCGTCATCAGAAGACTTGATCCGAATGAACAATGAACAATGAATTTATACGGGTTAAGAAGCGTTGCTTTACAAGTCCCGTTGGATAGTTGCAGGGGGTATCATCATAACAATAATGATGATAAGGGTAGTAAAATAGTTAATAATTTAAACATGAAAACTAGGACTTATCGTTTGCTTCGCTGTAGTCCTGCGATCCTCTTAAATTCACAGCTTCCACAGTTAACAACAAATAATTCCATGGTAAACTCCAGGTGTAGGATGGAGGCGTAGTGTTAAGTAACTAAGTGAAAGTGGATGAGTGCATCGTTCAACCGCCTTTTAAATACTGTTAGTGTCGGTGCAGAGACGACCGATTCTGGGAGAGCATTCCACGGGTGACAGACACGAATGGAGAAGAAATTTCTGCGGCACTCCAGACGACTGTATTTTTTTGCGAGTTTGAATGAGTGGCCCCTCAGGTTTGTATTGCTGCTGAGTTGCAGTAAAGGGCGGCACACATGATGTGGGTCTCGCAGAATCAAGTATGCCATAATCAGGTCGCCCCGTAGTCTGCGATAGCTTCCACTGAACAATCCTAGTCGTCGCAGCCTCTCTTGGTAGGACAGATTGCGCATTCCAGTTACGTTCTTAGATGCCCGGCGTTGAGGCTGCTCCAGTGCATTAAGGTCGTGTTTCAGCCATGGATGCCAGGCTTGAATTGCGTATTCGACATGGGGGCGAACATACGCACTGAGCATTTGTGGAAATATGGAGCTGTTTATTTGTCCAAACGCCCGCCTCAACAGCCCAACGTGTTGGTTCCCGGTCTTCGAGGCCTTTTCGGATTGTGTGGAGCAACCCCAATTCATCTTGAACTATTACCTCTAAGTCACGTTCAAGCGTTGATTTATGCAGTATATTCGTTCCGAGCCGGTATGAGTAGCTGCCGTAATGTTGGATGGAAAGCACCTTGCATATATATATATAAACAATTTACGCATAGATATAACCCTCAGCAAATATAGAACTTAAAGAAAGCAACAGTTGTCTTAAAGAGATGTCTAACGTTTCTTCAGGCAGCACGATAGTTAAGGGGCAGCACTCCGAGCTCTTGGCTGAATAGCCTGCCTGCCAAGCAGTCGGGCGAATTCATGGAATCATGTCCAGTTGGAGCCGACAACTGATTGCTTAGTCCATACGCCTTCTGTTTGGTCGGTTGCCAAACAAATACCCAATCCTCCCCACAATTTCAGCATCACATCGACGGAATACAACGTTCGACTAGAATGAAACAAGGGGCAGTGACTTTATTTAATGGAGAGCCACCACGGCCGAGTCGCAGTGTTGTTAAACGGATATATGTGGCTTTTTATAAGGAGAACGCCTGTCAGGAGAAAAGCCACTACGTCTCGGAACACTGCCGCCCAACCATTTGCTGGAATGGGATAAACCTGAACCACCCAGCTAACACTACTTGGAGGCTATTCGACAAGGCAGCAATTAACAGTATAGTGTACCACTGAGAGCCTCTAGAAGAAAGGGAACAGTGGTTGGCATTGATCAGTGCCTATTTTCTCTCTAACTTGGGTGCACAAGAATCGGATCTTACTACGAACTACGGCACTCATACGCCGAAACCTCAGCGCATTTAAAATCTTTTTCGGCGAATACATGTGGGAGATAATTTGCTCATTCTTTTGCACACATCAGCACAATAGCTATGCCCCAGTGAGTAAGGCAATGCTCGGTGTTCTATTTAAAGTGATGTACATGCACTCAATCTTCTACTGGCAGCGGCCACGCATCCGAACTTCGTTTTGGCATCGCTTCAGTGAACATTGCCACCACAGAATCACGGAGGACATGGTTACGCTGGTTGGCAAGTTTTACATTTTTGTTCCTAAACTAAACGATGGAGCCAGCTTATCAGTCTCCAACGTTTAACTCTAGTTTAAGGATGAATGTTAGGTGTTACCCACTATCAGCTCTGTATGGTACGACTAATTTCGTGCTTGATTGCACTAGGCCAGATGAGACAGTTGAGTTGCTACACCCTCTCGAGGAGCGGAGATCATTAAGTGAGAATTCGTCGAACTAGCTTCTAAAGAAGCTAGTATCCCACATACCCGGAAAAGCACTAGCTTGCAGCTTAAACCAGTTGGACATTATCAGCAGTGCGTGCGTACCCATCGAATCCATCAGGATTCTAACCCACGCTAACCAGTTGCTTGCACCGCCAACCAGCAGCTTATGCCTCGTGGATCATGCGGGACTGCTTCGGACCGTCATGATTTACAAGCTAACTGTGAGCTAACGTGTAGCGATCACTGACCGAAGCATTTTCTCCTGGATCACACGAATGCACTTATGGCTAGAAGTAAGAAGCAGAAAGACCGCACAGATCATCAAATGGAGTCAACTTATTGAACCCCGGGGACGGAGTGAACAGAGTGCAGCAAAGACGTCAATGAGGGCAGATTGTTTCAGTCAAAGGAGCCACATGAAAAACACACATCACGTAGGTATCAGTGTGTCATGCAAAATCTGAAGTGTTCCGACAAAAAGGATGATAACACCTTACTACTAGTGGTAAAATACCAAACGGATACATCTACATGGAACACTACACTAAGAAGCAGCCGTAATGAAAAGCTGCAACGAAAAATAGACCATAGAAGACCTAAAGCTCCACGGTTTGAGATCACGGTGACGCTTTAAGCTACGCTGTTAAGTACTGGCACTCACGTGGATGATAAACTTTCGGCACTCTCCAAACCACTCTGGTCGATCGTCCCACAAAGCATAGAATCTCAGCACCTTACGATCCTGTTCCAAATACTGACGCCGTTTGTCATAGGAAGACGGAGTTTTGCTCAGGCTTAGCGCCTCTCGGTTGGCACGCATTTCCAAGTAAGGATCCACGGGTTCCGGCTCCGGTTGGTTCACCTCGACCCCTTCGCTTTCTAGAAAATCCTAGTTAAAGCACAGAAATGCTAGACGATGTGATTGAGAAGAGGTCTATGCAACTCTAGTTAAAACAATTATCGAAATTGGATACTTATGATCGGGTGTGATAACCCGGCCGTTTGAAAAATTGTGGCATGCCATAAAATGTAGTATAAAAACATCTGATTTCAGCTTCTGCATGTTACATCGACACAAACCACGGGTTAATAAATCCCGTATGACTGAGACAACAGGAGTAGACATCAGCACTAAAGTAAGAACTGAGCATTTCTTTTCTTCATCGCTTGATCAATGCATAATACCAATTGCACTAAAATTCAGTAGGGGAGAAACATACAAGTTTACATTATCTAGTGCTTTCTAGTCAGCTAAAGTCGAGATGTCTAACAAAGGCCTTGGAAGCACTCATAGGTTTAAATAGCTTCACGCCAGGAAAGGTAGAAACCGTGAGAACCCATTACTGTCACGAGACAACTAATAAGTTGTCACCCTTTGGCTTTTGGAATGAGTTTTCTTCTTTACCCAATCTGCTTAGACAACTGACAACTTTAAAAGTCAGCTGCATAGCGATTTAGATAATACAGACTGTTCTAATAAACCGCAGAAAACGATTGTGGATTATGATGGCACACCACTATATACTGATCGCAATTTATTGAGTATCGCACCTTGCGCTATTAAACCTCGGACTTCCTTGTTATTCTTTGGCAGCATAAAAGAACAAGCAGTATGAGGTCCCGAACAATCTTGACGTAACTCGTAAGTTTGCTTGACTCTCGGAGGCAACAGATGAGATGTGTATATTCGTATTAGTTACTTGGGATGCTACCCTTGGTAACCATCGGGCTTCATTCCATCTGGTACGTGCAACGGGTAGAAGGAACTCTGGTGTTAGCGAGACCATACGTAAGGAGGGTGGACGGCAGATCCACTGTTTATCAAAACGCCTGGAGCGTTTGGTCGAACATCTTAAAAAGTAGCTTAATCTTCCAGGGTTACCAGCTTCTCCTTCGGCCATTGATCCTCCTCCGCCATGGGCCGTCCCCCTGGAGCCGTCTTCATGTACAGAAATCGAATGTGACGTCCGACTGTAGAAAGTAAATAAGGCCGCTGGAGCAGATAGAAACCCTTCTGCACCCTTCAAATTCGGGTGACCTGCCCTTGAACATGATCTGCACAACTTGCTTGTGAAAAAGTGGGAGAGCAGGAAACTGTCCCAGCAGACTGGAATTGCTCGATAATATAGTCCAACCTGTCTAAGGCTACCACTCAATTAACCGACAAAAAGTAATCGCCTTAGACAGGTTGTCACCACAGCCAGGTTCATGTAGATGGATATTACTCATAGGAGAAAGCGTTGGGGCTGTTTTTGGCTGGCCGCCATAGCAAGTTAGACTGTAGTCCCAGTTTTCAAGGGGGCTCACTTCCTGATTGCGGCAATCGTAGAGGGGTCAGTCTGATCTCAGTTGCCTCCGAGAAATTCACCTCTGTGCTTCTTCATAATAAGTACTATATAATGTGTCAGCTGTACGCCGTAACTGTGCTTCGCTGCCGTGCGACCACCACCAGTCACACGCGGGCTGAGAACACCGCGAGAACGCCCACCGCTACGCGGATCCGAACCCGCACTGCGAGATTAAGAGACAAGCTCGTTACCTCAAGGCTACGGCTTGCTGGCACCCGTGAAGGAGCAAGCCGGGTTTGGTCCCAGCCACGGCTGTATTGCTCACAGCTTCACCTTGAGTCAGTTGTTTGAGCATCGCCGTATTTATTGTCGACCCACTATAGTCGTGTTCCTCGAAATCAAATGTGCCTTCGATTCAGTGGATTGATGTGCCTTTTGGGACTGTCTGCCGAGGAAAGGTGTGCCCGATGAATACGTAAGTGTCATAACAGTGCACTAAAGGGATAGTTCGGGCAGAGTGATGGATTGGAGCAGGCTGATGCAGCCCTTCAATATCGCCAGCAGTCTTAGACAAGGATGCTCGCTGTTACCTCTCCTTTCTAACTTCGGCATTGGCGAAATCATGGAGATCGCGTTCACTGGACACGATTTACAATGCGTGGAGCTGCTCCCAGGTGATCGAATTCTAGACTAGGAGTAAGCCGAGGACATTCGATCGAGCTGAGGCAGCTCCGTAACGTGCCAACTAACACTGAACAGCTTAACACTAGCTGTCAGTTATTTCAGGCTATGCTTTACACCCTGGAAGTGAAAAGACCTTGTCCATGATTGGCTGGGACCCACCTCTCCGCTGACCCTTGGTGGTGATTAGCTAGAAGTCCTTAAGATATTCAGATATTCAGGCAGCCATATCAGCGCTAGTTGAATGAAGGGTGTGATCAGGAGCTGCACAACAATAGCTCAAGACGCTTTTGCCTATCTACACTACCTGTGGCGCTGGCGCGACACCACTCTCGCCCTGAAGGGCAGAGTTTGGAAGGCAACCGCCTGTTCAGTCCTCCTGTACGGTTGTGCAACCTGGCCTATCAAGTCGACGGATATTCCAGGCTAATCATGTTCGAACATCACTGCTTTCGCAGCTTAGCTCATGCCTGCTGGGAACGCATCGTGAGCACTGAATGCGTTCGGCGTCCTGTAGTTCGTGCAAGAAGGGCGAGTGAACCCCTCTGCACCATTATATCACGCACCAGTCTCCGATGGCTGGGCCATGTATTGCGCATTTTAGCTCACCGAGTCCCATGACGTACGTTATTCGCGCGTCGGGGCTGTGGATGGAAGAAGAGGGGGTGCCATGCGACGCCTTGGTCGACCTAACCGAAGATCCTCACTTCAGTGTGGGCGTCGGTTGGTGTCCCCCGACTGCCGAACTGCGGACCGAAGGATGATGAGCACGTCTAGTTGAATACACTATTTGACGTAGCATGGAGCCGACCTAAATGGCGTTTGTGTTGTGATTTTTATGTGGCGCCCCATCCAGTTTATCATTTCCCTCCAGCCACGAGTTCGGTCTTGAAGCATAATATGTTACTAAGCAGTGTGTTGCCTGCTTTTTGCATTCTATAGTGTCCATTATCTTGCTTTTCGTATATATTAGCATTATGTATTGCGGCACCATAGTCTAAGTGTGTTTCTCACCTTCAGCTGTGTTATGATGGTGATGATAATGCTACTTAGGCGTACAAAACGCGGTAAATGTGAATAGGTTTGGGGGCTTAAGTGACACCTTCAACCTATCCATTGTAAATGTAGGCGGTATGGAGACATATACATTAATTTGAAACCGCGCACCACTGATTATCGCACATTGTGCCACCATCGGGTTAAATATATCGAACATGCATCTTGAGATCGTGCTGCTGGATGAGCATTCAGCCTTACCTTTCATCATTGGAAATGGACTCAACATTGAACCACGTGGTTAGTTTAGAAAGTCATACAGTCATATTCCCATCGCAGGTGACTTTAATATGCACGATCTGGAAATAGTGACAACCGATAGCAAGCAATTCAAAGCCTGTTTGCAAGTGCTTATTCCAACTACCCTCTGTACAACCTCGTGACATCACCCACTATGCTGAGACGCGTAGCGCGTCACCCAACTTTGGTACACTGCGGTGAATCTCGATGTCTTCGAGTAACGTTGAACTCAGCAAGGAAAATAGAGACCGTACGACTCTCATCAGTTGGCCATCGCAACTCATCGAAGGGGTACGCATCCTACCAGATATCACATGGAAAGTTTGGGCAAAAAAGAACAATCATGGCGGCCATTCTACAAACGAAAGCAATAAAACCATATTTGTTCATGGTGTTTTTGAACTACCGGATTCTACTGATCCCGAAGCGCAAGCTCTTGAATGAGAGCAGTAGTACTACATCCGCGAAGCACTCTATCTAGACGACGTTATCGCAACATCATTGGCGAGAATCATTCCAACTCCAAACTACGAAGGTTGCGGACCGAAAATATTAACAATAGTGCTACATTCGGAAGGGATGAGTGAGGTCCTACAGCGTAGCTGGTTAAAGTATCTCTTCAGGTTACCAACCAAGGTTAGTCTAAAGATCGCGAGCGCAAGAGTGAACAGCACTTCGCTAGAACATGTAACCTCAGCGAAAGCCTCGCCTCCACAGTCCTGTAGAGTGATAAACACAATAGCGCTCGTGATACCTGACAGGACAGAGAAGCATCAGGGAACAACGCGAGCTGGAACGCTCGGTGCTACTATGCCGTCTGATCGAACTTCAACAATCAACGGTTTATGCAAAAAACGAATAGCGGCCGAACCCCGAATGGTCGGCTCAAAACTAAACACGAATTTGATATCCCCAACACATTTCTAACATCCAAAACACCATCCCGTTTGTATACTATCACATAATGCCTTCGTGGTAAGTTGGCCGAACTTAAAAAAGACCAAACGTCACAACCGCGAGATCACATTAGGATTACGGAGACCTGGTTAAGTCATGAGATAGCTGATTCCGAGATCAATTTACCTTGTATGTCGCTGCTTCGGAACGATGGAACTGGAAGGGGTGATGGTGTAATTATGTATTACAACGCTAAGCTTCGATGTGAGCTCAGTGACCACCAAGTAATTCGTGCGTCAGATTCGTTTTGGTGCCAGGTATGGTTGCGGAACAAAGACACATGTCTTATAGCTGTGATTTACCGTCTACGAAACTACGTCGGAAATGGACTCAACATTGGATCACGTTCTTGAGGTTACTTTGGACAAGTCACACAGTCAATTTCACATCGCAGGCGAATTTCATATGCACGACCTGGAAATAGCGACAACCGATAGCAAGCAATTCAGAGCCTGTTTGCAAGAGCTTATTTCCAGCTGCACCATGTACAACCAGATGATATCTCGCACCAGATTTCGTACTGCGAACAGGACATCGATAGTTGATCTTATGCGCACCAACGAAGAACTCATAATCGAAGGATTAGTTACAAGCATACCATTAGATCTCAGTGACCATGTTACTGTATTGTTTGAATATGTATGCTATGCAGAATATCCTAAAGAAG